ATTCACTGACAATAACCAACGGCCTTTTAGAGTGAAAAAGTTAGGTAGTACAAAAGATAACCTTTGGTCAGAAATGAAAGACCAGCATATCTTCGGATTTTCAGAGATTACAACAAAAACATGTACCAGCGACTCAAGGATTGAAGATTACAGGAGATTTCAACCGCACTTCAGTAAATCTTAGCGTTATAATCAGTGTGTGCTTTCCCTATTTGCATTCCCCAATATCACTCAGATAAGGATTATATCATTCATCCATTCTACAAAGTAATCACCGGAAACTGAAGTAAGGGGCTTCAGCTTCATGGACGACGCTTCCTCCACGCCATACAGAGACATATTGTCCTTGTGGTAGGCTCATGTACTCTTCGTAAACGTTATCCAAGGTTCTGTACAAGTGAATTCGTGATATAACGTAAAGCTTTATATTTTGCATACCCGTGTAAAGGGGATGCAATTTGACAGAGAATTTAACAAAATCACGACCGATGTAACTCTGACCTGCCTTTCTGTATTGACCCCTTTCACTGTACAATGGAAAGTACCAGGCAATATCGCATTACTGTCTTAATTTGACTTTGAATTGTGTATTTGTAACTGATGTTGAAAAGAGGCTATTTTATACATGTATATACACTTTCAATTGGTGATATATGAAATAATTAGAGGTATATGCGAGCAAAGACCACTCTATGTTGTGTCATGATGTCATGAATGAAAGCAGTTCAAATATCAAGTTCATTCTGTGCTGGTCAGGATGACCTACATGATTCAAATTCGTTGTTGTATCAAATCTTTCTCCCTTCACACTTCCAAAGGACACCGTCTGTTTAATGCCACGTGTTTTATATAGAATCGATATCGCTGAATTAACATAATTAAACAACTTTATTCGCACGAACAGAACAGGTTCAGAATCTGTATATATATTTTTAAGAAAACCGTAGTCATTTGAGAGACAGGTTTTCAAGCAATTGCCAACTGTTCCGTTTCTGTGAAATCGATTGTCAAATGATTAAAAATCGAAGTCACTTTCGTGTTCCAGGTTAGACTTAATCAGCTTTCATATTGTTTGTATTAACACGTAACTGATCAGTTGCGTGAGAACATGTCACAACGGGGGACATAAGGAGACATGTTGTACATGATCCGGGCATGTCCTGCACCACCAGTGGCAAATTGATTGTGGCATGTATTGAGTGCCTGTCTCAGATTTACACCTTCCATGTCTTTTTACAGTGTGTCATTGCCAAGCGCAGAAGATATAAATACATAAGAATTTCCAGTATAAAGCTAATGTTCAATGTACTTGAGTCCAGACTCGTGGACAGACCGACTGACGCGAGAATGTAAGCTAGGTGGTTCGATCCCCGAACATGGCATAACACAAGACGTTTAAAGCAGGTATGTGTTGCTGAAAATATGTCATTTCCTCTTTCGTACCAAATTCTAGATTTAACCATTCTCGAAGATAAACCACATTCCGCACTACAGTTAATGAATCCGTTTCGGCAATGTCCAAAGAAAGCATTTGCATCAAGTGGATTTTGAAGTCACTTACAATTTTGCATTTTCAGAAGAAACAGGTTCAACTCTGTCGAAACGTAAGCTTTTTCAACTTTTACACCCTCCAAACTTCCAAAACGAAAACTTCATTTATCATATTACTAAACGTGGTTACCACAGATATACTTACATATCGATATTCAGAGGTTAAGGAAGGCATGTCAAAAATACAAGCTGTAGGCATCCCGATGGGCACTAAATGTACTCCCCCTTCTTGCTGTTCTTTCTTTATGCATATGATTCGTAATTTCTGACTGGGTTTGACAGTCAAAACATGGCAATGTGACCATGTGTACTGTAAGCTTATGGTATATCAATGATCTGGTGGTCTAATATTGCTCGGTGATGAGCCAGATCCCTAATTTACTCACCTAGATATCTATGAGAATAGAGAGTTGTAACTATGCATTCAGATTCAGAGTGACCACAACTCTATCTAGGGTTGTGCAATATTACCTGTAAACCTATACCGGTACAGTATCTCGCGATAGTTCAGATTCTGCAATATATTGGGTCATCCAGAGTTAGCTCCATTTGAATTATCTGCCCTTGATTTCCATATACTTTTATTTCTGTTGGTGTAACATGTTACATTTTACAAGTGGAAGTGTCATTAAAAGTAGCTCCAAAATTGCCAAATAGTATACCAAATGCTTTACGTTTTGTGAGTTTGAATGGTTTCTTATGGAGGAATTAAGTGGCCTCAAATGGACCAATATTTATTTTTACTAATCAGTAGAGCCTCTGGATCTGAATGACCATTTCACAGTTCACAGTATTTTGTTATATTTGTTTATTTCATAATGGGGCATATGATATCAATTTATCATAAAGGCCTGAGTCTTAGAAAATGTGTAAGACTGTATAATGCCATTCCCGTCAATGATCTTAGTTATTGGAAGGTGACATGCGAGTTTAATCTCAAGTAGTTCAACTGAATCTTGTTTCATTTTGTTTCAGTCTTTGAGTTATGTACTCGCTTTAGCTCATCTCAATTGGGTATCCTAATTTTCCTCTGAGTAACCAAATAAATTGTACCCATCTCACTCAAACTCAGTTGGGTACTTTGCCAATTTCTAATAATTGTAAAATTATAATTAAGTTTAAATGTTGGTTTACGTGTTTGTTATTTATATTTGATCTGTAATATGAGAAACGATAAGAAAGACTGAAGGTGCAAATTTCATGTGTCGAAATAGAACTTCTCAATATATACTACTCACACTTTGACAAGGATCACAAAAATTCACAACTATACTTAAACGTAGATTTATAATATGAAATTGTATCCATTTAAAATTGGATGAATAATAATATGGTAACCCCTCTTTAGGCAGACAGCCACTTTATTTTAACATTATGCACTTTATACATGAGTAACCATAAGAATGGTTTTCATGGCACCAATCAACCATTTTGTAAATCATGGAACGAGTCATTGACAAGTACACAACACCTGTCAATAGCAGGTATGGGATCCACAAGATGAAATGACAAACTGAAACCTAGGATCCATGCTTACAATAAGGCTAGATATTTCAAACAAATTTGACTCTCATAGTTTTCTGTTGAATCCATGATTTGATCCTTAGCAAAGTGTGAATAGTATAACTCAGTTATTTCATCTATCCACTGGAACGCAACCTAAGATTTGTACGCATGTAAGATCAAATTTATCGAGTACTTACAAAAAATCAAACATACTTGTAAGCAATGGACGTAATTGAGTTGAGTTGAGGAATTGAGTTTTCATATAAATAAAAATTTGCGTAATTTACGTAGATACGCAGCATATCTGTACATCTGTATAGTTCATGTTAACACATGTTTATATTGGAAATGAATCTGAATGAATCACTGACACACAGTAACAATAATTACATACTACATTGAAGTACATTATTTTTAAGCAAACAACACTGATTATGTTATACTATTACCTGTGAAACGTTTGCAAAACGTTGTTGCAATACATTCCACATTAAGGCTCTATATTATTTTATTTATCTGTAAACAACTGGCATACAGACGTACACAATGGGGACGGGGAACCTGAAAGTATGGTGTAACAGCAACTGAGAAGATGATGTCGCACACAGACAGCTATTATGAATGTATGATGTACGCACTTGGGCAGAAACCTCCCATGCAATATATCACAATATGTATTGCAATATCTCTCTCTCTCTCTCTCTCTCTCTCTCTCTCTCTCTCTCTCTCTCTCTCTCTCTCTCTCTCTCTCTCTCTCTCTCTCTCTCTCTCTCTCTATCTATCTATCTATCTCTACATGAAGATGAAGCCATCAACATCAACTCAGACACCAACTCCAATATCATCAAGACGAAGAACCACCTAACCTTCCTACCTCTGTCAATAACATCGTACCTAATGGACTCCGACTCCGATCTCCTGTACAGACCCGCATCCCATCCATCTCCAGAATTCTACATCAAGCCAGCAGTAAAATCCCCTCAAGGTCCAGTCCAGCACTTGAGACGGAAGGAAGCTCCCTGAGGACAACCTTCGCAGATCTTCAGCAGATCTAAGCCTCAGCCCTGACCTCATGCAGAAAGTCTCAATCACCAGCAATGCATCCCTCATGAAACAACGTCAGACTAAGAAATTCAGCAACCTCCAGCAGCAAGCACCAGCTCACTCATCCCATCCCAGCGTCACCACCATCAGCCGTGAAGCATACTCCAAGAAAACCATAGTCAACCTCAGCTCAAAACCACTGCCCACTGCCCAGAAATCCCTCCTCTCAAAAGGCCTGAAATTCGTCCCCACCTGCAGCACCATCAAGTCGGACAAATTCATCACCAGCATCGAAAACGGCCTCCAACAAACTCGCCCCCAATGACAACGTAGATCACCTCCTGCACCAAAAAGCTGACCTCATCAAACAGTGTCCAAAGGAACGCAGCGATCTCTCATCACAAGAAAGAAAGGCCATCCAAGAACTCCGCAATGATAAGACCATCACCATCACCGAAGCAGACAAGGGCAAGGCAGCAGTCATCATGGACACTCCTGAATTCCATGACCTTGTGAACAAGACCCTCAACGACACCTCAACCTACAAGATCATACCCAAGTATCCAACAGCGAAGTTGGAACGTCAGCACAAGAAAACTCTGAAGAATCTCCATGACAGCAGGCAAATCAATGACACTGTGTACAATGTTATATCCAAGTAATAGTCAATCTCCTTATGCCCATGCCACTGTGAACATTCATAAAAAGCCTGTAAAAACTAGAATCCTTGTGTGCTCACGAGGTTCAGTTTTCTACAATACAGCTCAGTTTCTTTCTAAAGTGCTTGCTCCTTTGAGGAAAGAAGGTAAATCCTTCATCAGCGACTGGTATCCAGCTGTTTCCAGACTTCATATTTCACATGGCAGTGTAACAGCTATCAACAGATTAATGGGCTCCCCATGGGTTCACCAATGTCCCCTCTGATTACTGAAATCTTCATGACCAGCTTTGAAGAGTCAGCCCTACAAACATCGCTGTTCCAGCAACTATGCTGGTACAGGAAGGTGGATGACACCTTCGCCATCCTTGATCCTGACCACAACCCTGCAGTCCTCCTAGATCACCTCAACAAACAGCACAGCCGCATCCAGTTCACCTTGGAAATTGAGGATCAAGACAAGCTGCCTTTCCTTGATGTATCTCTCGACAATTCATCCAACAAGATCACCCCCTCTGTCTACAGAAAACCAACACACACTGACCAGTATATTCATTATCTATCCAACCACCATCCACAAATAAAACGAGCCATAGTTTCAACCCTAACCAGACGCGCCAAGGCTATCTACGACCCAGCCCAACTCCAAGATGAGATCGACTACCTCAAAACAACCTTCATCACCCTTAACGGATATCCCAAACAACTTGTAGAGCAGACCGTAGCCACAATCCTCTATCAACAAAATGACCGACCACCCAAACCCGAACGAGCTCCCATCCGGATCATATTCCCTACCAAGGCCAAATTAGTCATCACATCAGTCGACTTCTTAGAAAAACTGCCAGTGTAGATGTGACATTTTATTCTGATAAAACTTTGAAATCAATCCTGAGAGCGAATGGAAGAGGTGGCAGCAACCAGACCAAACCCAATCCCAGAAGATGCATCTACAAAATTTGTTGTGATTGTGGAAGCAGTTATATTGGAGAAACTTGCCGGCCGTTCAACATAAGGCTAAAAGAACATAAAACTTCAGTTGAAAAATCTGATCTCAAATGTGCTCTCTCAGAACATGTCGTCGAAAATCCAAATCACTCTATCAACTGGCAACGCACTGAAATCCTGGCTTCCAACATCAGTAATTGGCGCAAAAGAAAACTTCTTGAATCAATCAACATAAGAAGATTAGTACCCGAGATCAACAGGGATCAAGGGGTTTACCTCCCTAGCGCCTGGTGAATCACCAAGAAATCATAGACTCTCAAACCACCCTGCTGTGTAAACATACTCTTGTTCTTATTGTAAAAACATACCCTATCATTGTATTCTTCTCTTTCATCTCACTGCATTGTTTGTACCTACTTAAGTATATCCTCCCTCCCCCCCCTTGCGCTTGTATATACTTATTTACATATCTGGCTTCCTGTACATCAATATATATAGCTGTAATGTTCACTATGATCATTATCCACCTGACGAAGGGGCAAGAACTAGCCCAGAAACGTTGTGTAAATTAAATCAAGAAGTTGTTATCCATAAGATTTGTCTTGTATTTAACCATGATCTTCAGTTTTTGTGCAAGAATCCCCAAATCGAATAATTGGATGAGCACTTGTCGATGGAATGGCGTTGTGGATTGTTTTGATACTCAGTGGTTTACGCAGATTTCGCTGTGTCACTTACAACTCTCGCTTCTCTGTCAGTGCTGGAGAAGGGATCTTAGCTATGGCTTATCAAATCTAACTTACTCATATGGTTCATAACTCCTGTCCCATTTAGAGATCAGGTAAAGGTCACTTGAATCTACAGACTTGAAGAATCGGGGTGATTTGGTTGGGACAACTCCAACAACTTTTATCATCTTTCTACTCCAGTGATCTCTTTGATTGGCATTTTAGAAGTTGATGGATAATAGAAAGGTATAATACTTTATGGATAACAACTCCTTTATTTCTTATGGTGCGACGTTTCGGTATAGCTTCTCATACCGTTGTCAAGCAAGAATAATCTTCTGTGCATTATGTGACGTCACATCATTTGAAATTGACCCACTTTTGTCTATGAACCAGACCCGCATTGCACGTGAGATGTGTTTTGTCGGAGGTAACGTGCAGCCAGCAAGTGTTGTGAGACAGATCTTACTGTGCTCTACTGATGTCGAGTTAAACCCGGGACCCCTTACTCCTGGAGAAGTCCATGATTCCATTATGGCTAAATTAGAAGACAACAAGTCCGAGCTGAGTGATCAAATCACATCGTTGAAAGAAGCCGTGAAGTCGATTTCTTCTAGGTGTGTTAAACTTGATAAAACAGTTAACCTTAGCAAATCGGATATAGAGAACCTGAAACAAACTAGCGAGACTATGTATACGGATTTTGACGCCATTTCGGAAAAGGTTGATTACATTGACGAACGTATGACCAAAATTGACGACGATTTAGATAAACTTGAGGCATTTAGTCGACGTGACAACATCCTCCTACATGGTATTCCGGAAGTTGACGGTGAGAAGTCGATGGCATGTAAACAAACTGTGTTGTCTACATTTGACAAATAATTGACTTTTAGGACATGGCAATCGTCTGATGTGATTCGTGCACACCGCCTTGGCGCTAAACGTCAACAAGCAACTAAACCACGTCCCATCAGATGACATCGGAAATGAGCATCTAAAATATATTGTTTGAGTGGCATATTAGAAGTTGAGACGTACAATATGGACCAAGTTTTTATGGATAACAACTTCTTTATTTCGTGAGTGCGACGTTTCGATACAGATTCGTGTACCGTTGTCAAGCAAGAGTGATACATGAAGTGGAGGAGCTGCATATTTATACTGTGTATAACAATGGAACTACATACATTGTAATTGACAAAGGAAACAGCATAATTGCCATAATTGGTTAAGCAGTAAGGTGATGAAGCCAGTGAGTACACAAAGGATAGTGAATGGAAGCCAGAGATGTATAAATGCAGGAGTGGTACAATGAAGGAGATGTTTATACAATAGGTGCGATGTTTATACAATAGATTGGGCTTGGTGGAGGAGTGGATCATAAGCTGATGGAATGAAGTATCCTTGGTCACGGTTGATGGTTGGCTTATGGCGTTTGATGTGAATGGCTTCGGTGAGCTTGCGTTTAGTGAAGTCCGTTTGGTTGTTGGCGAGAATAGTGAAGTCGGACCACTCTATTTGATGATTGGGGTTTGCTTTGATGTGGTCAGAGATAGCTGATTTGGTGTCGGAGTTAGCAACAGAGGTGCGATGTTCTTTGACTCGGGTGTTGATGGGTCGGGATGTTTCACCTATGTAGCTTTGTCCACAATCACAGTTTATTTTATAAATAACACATTTCGGGTTGTTGTTGTTGACGGTGGGTGACGGACCATCGAAGCAACGCTTTCACCTCCTGCCAAAAGATCTAAACCAGAATCAGCCCCCATCAAGATATCCATTCCCTACATAGGTAAACCATCACATCAAATCATCCGACTCCTGAAACAACAGGCAGGCATAGACACAACCTTCTCAGCGTCCTCCAGCCTCAACAACCTCCTCCATGCCAACGGAAGAAAACAACCCACTGTCAACAACAACAATGCAGTGGCTTGATAATAATATCTTAATTGTTCTTTGAAATATTTAATTTACCCGTGTGTATATATGTGAATGTGTTTGGAAATATGGATTGCATATTTGTTATTATTATTACAGAGTGTCATGCCATAGCGACACAGCGACACAGCAAATATACATATTTCTCACGACCTGCCGCCTTGGTCATTCTTGATTGGACAAGCACAGGCTGCAACATATGCGGGACTTAAACCCAGAAACTCAGACCGGTTTTCGAAAAACTATTCTACTTCAGATCACATTTTTCATTACATGCAATAATTCAAAAACGTCTTTCACGCCGAAAACACAAATTGTATGTAGCGTTCGTCGATTTTAAAAAAACATTCGATTCTGTTGATCGTTCTAAATTATGGTATTGTCTGCTAAAGACCGGATTACGAGGGAAAATGTATTCTGTTTTAAAGTCTATGTATTCTAATATAAAATCATGTGTGCGGTGTGGTGATGATTTTACAGATTATTTTGATTGTCCGGTCGGATTAAGACAAGGATGGTATTTAAGCCCAATGTTATTTTCATTTTTCATTAATGAATTGTATTACGATATTGCTAATAATGGAAAACATGGTATTCAGATGTTCCCGGATATGATTGAAATACTAATGTTACTTTTTGCTGATGATGTCATTTTAGTTTCAGACACTATAGTAGGATTACAAAATCAACTTAATATTTTGGGACGTTACACAAAAGAATGGAAGTTATCGGTTAATTACGACAAAACAAATATTGTCATTTTCAGAAGGGGTGGTTCGTTATCCGTAAATGAAAAGTGGGTACTAAATGGGATACATCTTAAGATTAATAGTCATTATAAATATCTTGGTCTTTTTGTTTACCCATACAATGAACTTTTCTAAAAGCATAGACTATTTGATAATGGGTATGTTTCCAACTAGCTGGTCTTCTTCAATTATTGTTCCTCTACATAAGAAGGGGAAATTTGATGATCCCGACAACTATAGAGGCATTTCACTTCTATGAGTATCCTTCGCAAAATATTCACAACTGTATTAAATAATAGAATAACAAATTGGGCAAATATGTGTGTAACAGGGATGAAATCAAACAATTATATATTTGTTTATTTGTACCATTCAGGTTTTATCATTGTATATAGTGCATATGTAACAGGGATGAAATCAAACAATTATATATTTGTTTACTTGTACCAATCAGATTTTATCATTGTATATAGTGTATATGATTGTTCAACAGACTACCGCTTGTTTACAATAAGTGATCTAATTAGTTTTCTGTCTATCTTCATCTCAGGTTTTATTCTCTCATAGCTGAATCAGGTTATAGGGTCAGTTCATTCTTGTTTTAAGGGTAGTCAGGTCGTTCCATTTTAGTGTAATTGTTTATTGTCTTGATCAAAGGACTGAAGCCTGATTCTTTGTCTTGATTGGTGATTTTGAATATCTATGTCGTCACCAGCCATCTTAACACCTCTCAGCACTGGTCACAATCACTACACTGCATCCACCATACAGATCAGTTTACAGGTTAGATAAAATTCTACCACGAATCAAGAAAATACTAGATTCTGATTGGTTGTTCAGAAAAATCAGACGGCATCAATTGTGGATTGACGCTCATCTGATTGTAAGGCCGCTTCACCGCGCATTAACAAATCTTATTGTGAGAACTACTTCCGTTTGACCACAATGATGGCGGATCATAACAATAACTCCATGGATTTTGACGCTGACTTTCGAATTTTACACATAGGGAATTGGAAATTTTTTGGATTAAAATGCTTTGGATTTCATTGTGCTTCACTGCGCACGTATAGAACACTGCCCCACTACTTCAGCTTGACCACCAACATGACTAATATCAACACAACAGACGTGATGGAAATGCTGATGAAACATTTATTAAACTCGAAAAATACAGTTATATGATTCCCCCTACACACACACACACAATTTTTTAGGGAACCTCACTATCATATTACCTTCTGTTATAAAATATTCAAACTCAAAACAATACACAGCCCCAAACATAAACAAAACAATATCTAACATATAAAATCAGAAAGCCTTGTAAAAATACATCCCTATCTATACAAAATATGCAGCAAAAACATTAGTAAACATTTACCTACCTGGTAAATGGTATATTTAATTCCGTTTAGAATGGGAAATTTGCAAGATAGATCTAACGGTCTGGCGAAACACCACATTTATGCCACTCATAGTCA